GAGTCTTTTCGCGCGATTTTTGAGAAGTCCTTGTGTTCAAGGGGCCATTAGGTAAAAAAAAAAAACCACCTGAAAATTTATCATAATTTTCCGCTCATTTTTTTTTTATCATCAAAATATCTTTCGATCAATTATTCTATTCTTGGCTCTGAGGAATCATTGGTATTTTTTCGAAGTATTGGATATTGACATTAGGTAAAAAGTAAAAAGTAAAAAATGCCTCGAGACATAATGCGTACGTACGTGTATATATGTAGGTACGAATCGCCTTACTGGAGAGGACTTGCGGCTAAACGAATTCAAGTAGCTTGGAGATACAGACAGAAGCGAATAAATCGCACCGTGTAATTAGCTAACGACATTCAACGAGCATTTGCGAATGCATATATGCAAAGCTGTGTATATATGTGTGTGTGTGTGTGAGTGTGTGTGTGAATCATTTTGTATGCAACTCACGAGAACTAAAGGTGCAGCCACATATAGGTTTGAAGTATTATTCCACAGCAGGAGAAATGTGATGTTAATTTAGGGAGAAAATATGCTGCTAAATGATTCTTGGAGGTCAAATTCATGATGTGTTTTATTGTTTATTTTGGTAGATATTCTACTTTGTTACTTTTCATTAGATGAAATTAGATTGGAGGTCTTTGAGCTCTTGTGGTTGTGTAGGTAGCAGGTTTGCTTTTTCCTCCCAACTGAAATATGCACAAAGTGGTCCCAACTGAAATATGCACAGTGGTAAAAGACATGACCCGGTCAAACCCGTTGACCGATGACTGCGGGCCTTGAATCTGCTCGTGGATTTATCTGGTCCAGTACAAGTTTATGTTTTTTCACAAATTCAATGGCCGTTTAACGAATTTAAAAATTGATTTTTTTTTTTTAATTTGCCAATTCAGCACGGAAACTGCGGACTGGTTCAGAACCGTGAATAGTCCCATATATATACCTAGGCCGGTTTAGGTTCACATACAATGCGAACTTAAACCGGGCAGTTTCAATTTCCGAACTGGAACTAAATTGAAATTGAGTTTTGGCCACATCTAAGTGGTATAAAGAGATGTAAACTATACGAGTTATTAAGATGAGTCAATTAACCAGATCGAGTCATACTCATTTATCAATATTAACAAGTTAAACTCGGTCTTGACAAACCAAGCTATGAAAGATCATATAAAGATTCTTAACTCGTAAACTAGTCGAGCGTGCGATTGAAAAAACTGAATTAGAGAACGAACATAAATATTTTGGTGGATGGTTAATTGTTTTGAAATTGTGAATAGATATGAGATAATGTATTAACTAAAATTAATGTGATGAAAAAATTAATAAAATAATAACTATAAATAGATTGGTAGTTAAAAATATATTGAATGGTAAATATTATTGAAAAATATGTAGTTGCAATTGACTTTTATTATTTAATAGTATTGATAATATTGTTGAGAAAAAACTAGATGAGATAATTTTTGAAATTTTTAAAATAAAAAAATTCTGATGAGATAAATATAAAAAAATTAATAATATCCAATTGCTTCCTAAATAAGCTTGAACTCGGCTTAGTTAGGCTAATTTCGTTTAAATAAAAGCTCTTTTGAGATTCCCTTTAAGCCCCTCGAGTTGGCAAAGAATAATGTCTTGTATTGTGGCTCCAAGATAACAAATGTATAATCCCTTGTGCTTAATATGGTAAAGAAATACTGTAAAACCTCATAAAAATCATTTATTCCGTAAATAGTTTATGTAAGTCGGCAAATCAATGCATAATCTGAGTGCAAGTCAAAGATTTTAATAAAACAGTCTCAATCTCTTTAATTTTGTAAGATTTATTTTTATTTTCTAGAAAAATTTCTTGTCCAAAAAAGTAAAAACGGAATAATTGGACCTAACTATTGAAATATATTGCAAATTCACCACATTTGGAAAATATTTTTAAAATATTTATTCCCGAAAACTGCTAATCACCTTTCATCTTTATCCGTTTACTCTCTCTCTAAAAGTCTCTCTTCCTCTCACGTTCATTTGTTTGTCGTTTCTCCATCACAGTGCGCAGTATACACATAGTGAAGAACACATCACACTCTTCTCCTGTCGTCTTTGCTGTGGAGTTTTTCTGATAGGTTTGGCGGTCCGAGTGAAAAGGTAGATTGAAAAAAAAGCAAACTGTTTAGGGTTTGGTGTTTCGGTGTGTTTTTGTGATTGAACCAGTTGGATCTGTGGTTTATCTTTAATATTTTAAGTTATCTTTTCGTGATTTTGGTTTCTTCTTCCCGTGACTAGGTTTATCGTATGTAGGTTAATGAAGATTTGCTTCTGTTTCATTGTAGATGGAGACCTTCGTTTATTCCTCTGCTTTGTGTTTTGTCTGTATCACATGTTGGGGTTTCAAACGCTTTGTCCAGATTTTACCTGGGTTTTTTGTTGGATTACTTTTCTAAGTATTGTTTCTGGCAGTAAGGGTGTACTTGTTTGGAACTCCATTTATTGTTTTCACTTTGACACTAATCCTTTAGTATATAACAACAAATTACCATTTGTTTGCTGTTTAAGAGGTGTTCCTCGTACTTGGTTAGACAAAAAAATAGTTAAATCCATGATGTTCTGTGGCGTGATTTGTGAGCACGGGATCACTAGATTTGTGTTCTCTTGTTATTATTTCATATCTTGATGCTGTTAGGGTGATTTAAAAAAAAAAAAAATCTGTTGATTTTCCGGCTTAGTTTCAACAATGGTGAGAAAGAGGCGAACTGATCTTCCTGGGGCTGGTGAGAGCTCTGAGTCTCAGCAATCTGGTGGACAACAAGGCCCTGAGCAATTCCCTCCCATACAGCAATCATTCCAGCAGCCTCAACAACAAGGAGGATATCAAGGAGGAGGAAGAGGCAGGGGCCCACGTGGAGGATATGGCGGCCGTGGTGGTGGAGGTGGCAGACTTCCCCAGCAACAGTATCATGGGGGAGCTTCTGAATATCAACAGGGTGGGCCCCAGTACCAGAGAGGAGGGCCACCTGTCCAGCACCGAGGTGGATATGCCAGAGGTGGGCCATCCAGGAAACCAGCTCCCGAGCTGCACCAAGCTACCGATTCTCCGCATCAAGGGGCAGGTCCATCTCAACCAAATCCATACAGGAGGCCTGCTGAAACACATCCTGGAGCTGGGGTGACTTCTCAACAACCACAAGAGCCATCCGCTTCTGCAGTGTCGGAGCAAATGCAGCAACTCTCTTTGCAGCCAGAGGTGAACCCGAGCCAAGAAATGCAACCGGCTTCGAGCAAGTCCATGAGGTTTCCATTGAGGCCAGGCAAGGGTAACAATGGCATCAAGTGTATTGTGAAGGCTAACCACTTTCTTGCCCAGCTTCCTGACAAGGACTTGCATCAATATGATGTGAGTTGGCTTCTTTTCTAGCCTTATATTTGATATTGTTTGCCTCTGGAGAATTATTTCTGTGATTTTGATATGTATGTGCTCGATTGAGTATTATTGACTTTTCATGTGCTGTGTGTAATAGGTGTCCATTACACCAGAAGTTTCATCCCGTGGAGTCAATCGTGCTGTAATAAAGGAATTAGTGGGTCTATATAAGGAGTCTCTTCTTGGAAATAGGTTACCTGTCTATGATGGTAGGAAGAGTCTATATACTGCCGGGGCTCTACCTTTTGCATCAAAGGATTTCAGAATTACTCTCACCGATGAAGAAGAGGGGCCGGGGGGTCTCAGGTTTTTTTCAACCCATTTCTGGCATGATATTTGTTTTACATGAATGAATTTTGTGTTTTTACTTATAACCTATGGTTTTCGATATGTTTTGCAGGAGGGAAAGAGAGTTTAGGGTGGTGATCAAGTTTGCTGCGCAGGCCGACTTACATCATCTAGGCATGTTCTTACAGGGGAGGCAAGCTGATGCTCCTCAAGAAGCTCTCCAGGTTCTGGACATAGTTCTGCGTGAACTGCCTACCAGCAGGTATGTTATGATGCACTTATAACTGTCAAAGTGGTTTTAAATTTTCTTCAATGCTTTTTACTGATTATTCTCATACTTGTAGATTGTGCCCAGTTGGTCGCTCCTTCTATTCCCCTAATGTAGGTTCGAAGCAGCCACTTGGTGAAGGGCTTGAAAGTTGGCGTGGTTTTTACCAGAGCCTTCGCCCTACTCAGATGGGGCTGTCACTAAATATTGGTGAGCTAATTCTCTTTGTAGTTATCTAGATTCTTATTTGTTTCTTTTAATGGCTGTTTTGCTCACTGATGCATCCTGCTAGTTTTAGATAACAAGTGTTTTCACCTTAAATTGTGTTCTTGATGGAGCAGATATGTCTTCCACTGCTTTCATTGAGCCGCTCCCAGTGATTGATTTTGTAGTCCAACTTCTGAACAGGGATGTGTCAGCTAGACCTTTGTCTGATGCTGACCGTGTGAAGGTTCGATATTTTGCTCATCTTGTCAGCTTGGTTTTATGTACTTCAGTATCTTTTATGGTTTCATTGTTTTACGAAGATAAGAATAATAAGATGTTCTACACTCTGTAGCTTGTATTTCCATCAGAAGTTTTGTATATAAAGTTCGTTCATCTTATATGTCTACATGTAATGTAGATATTTAAAGTGATACCATTTGCTCCCATTAACTTCATCGAATTGAACCAGATAAAAAAGGCTCTGCGAGGAGTAAAGGTCGAAGTTACTCATCGAGGAAACATGCGTCGGAAATATCGCATCTCTGGTTTGACATCACAAACAACAAGGGAACTAACGTAAGACTTGAATACAGTACTTTTTTTGGATTTGATAAGTCAGATAATAATGAAACTATTTATTATTGCTTATATGGTACTTTCACTTATCTTTCTTAGACAGTAATTGTAATATAATGGTTGAGCTTCATATCTGGTATTCTGGTTTTTGTTACTTTTTTGAAAATTTTCAGCTATGGTTTATCTTTATTAGCTCTCTTATGGAAGTTTTGCTTTCTGTATTCTGTACTGCATTCGTAACTTGCCTATAACTGCCACAATATTTTGCGTTCTTGAAACAATATGATCGTGGGTGAGGTGTAAACACTTCAGTGTTTCGTGATTTTTGGTGCTAGCATGTAAGATTTTGAATCATTTCAATCCATTGTTCTTAGTCTTATCATCTGAACTTGGCCTGCTTTTGTCAGATTTCCTGTTGATGAAAGGGGCACGTTGAAATCTGTTGTTGACTACTTCCGGGAAACCTATGGATATGTCATTCAACATGCTCAGTGGCCATGTCTGCAAGTTGGGAATACTCAGAAACCAAACTATTTGCCAATGGAGGTGTGCAAGATAGTCGCGGGTCAGAGGTACTCCAAGAGGTTAAATGAGAAGCAAATCACTGCACTCCTCAAAGTCACGTGCCAACGCCCCCAACAGAGAGAGCATGACATATATGAGGTTTGGAAAATATACAATCTGTGGTTTTATATAGGATATGTTTTTTTACTGAGTGTGATCAAGCATTTGTCTGCTTCCACTATGTTGCTAATGTCATGAAAATTTTGTTTGATTTGTTTCACAACTGTTGGGTGGGCTTTTGTGGTTTGTATTCATGTTTAACGATCTGTTTCCATGCAATGAACTTTTTTCTTTCTTTTGTCAGACTGTAAGACACAATGCCTATGCATCAGACCCTTATGCTGAGGAGTTTGGGATCACAATTAGCGAGAATCTGGCCCAAGTTGAAGCTCGTGTTCTGCCCGCACCCAGGGTGCACTGAATTGATCTCTGAACTTCCTGAACAATGTTTTCTTGGTATCGTTCATAATACATGTTTCTCTTTGCAGCTCAAATACCATGATTCAGGTCGGGAGAAAGATTGTATGCCCCAAGTTGGGCAGTGGAATATGATGAACAAGGTGACTGCCGCCTCCATATTGCTTCTATTTATTTGACATGAGCTAATATTGCATCTGTTTATTTGACATGAACTACAACATGACGTGTTGCATATTTTATTGTTTGAAAGCTCGAAAAGTCGAAATTTGTGGTTAATTAGCTTACATAATGCAGAGGATGGTCAATGGCGGCATCGTCAACAATTGGATCTGTATTAACTTTGCTCGTAACATACAAGACAATGCTGCGAATAATTTTTCTTACGAGCTTGCTCAAATGTGCAATACGTCTGGCATGGTAAACTTTAATCTTCTAATGTTTTTCAGGTAATAGTGTTGCACCTCCACCTTTTTATAGTAATTTTTCCCTGCAGGCTTTCAATCCAGACCCTGTCTTACCAGTTTTGAGTGGCCGGCCTGATCAGGTAGAGAGAGTTTTGAAAGCCAGGTTTCACGAGGTCATGACTAAACTGCGGCCCCAGGGGAAGGAACTTGATCTGCTAATTGTTGTTTTACCTGACAATAATGGTTCTCTTTATGGTGAGAGAATACAGGATCTCTAACCTTGTCAAAATTTCATAGGGGAACGGTGTTGGTAGGTTTGGTAGGTGTAGATTTCCATTCTCTTGTTTGTAAATAACATATATTATCTCCTTGTAACAGGTGATCTGAAACGTATATGCGAAACGGATCTTGGAATTGTCTCCCAGTGTTGTCTTTCCAAACATGTTTATCGAATGAGCAAACAATATCTTGCCAATGTGGCTCTGAAGATTAATGTGAAGGTTGGAGGGAGGAATACTGTTCTGGTTGATGCAATATCTAGGCGTATACCATTTGTTAGCGATCGTCCCACCATTATTTTTGGTGCTGATGTCACACATCCTCACCCTGGCGAGGATTCTAGCCCATCTATAGCTGCCGTATGATGTGTTCCCTATGCTTATTTTCGGTTTTGCATGGTTCCTTTTGGCCTTTTTGTTTTTCACTTGAAGTTCTTACATTGACTTTTTTTTTCTTTTTTTTTTTTAGGTTTGCTTTTGCTTTTCTCTTGTTTTATGGACCGGTATGCTTTGTAGGATTATTTGTTTGTGTTTTTCTGAGCTTGGACTTTGGTGTATTATAAGACTAGTTGATGATTGGTTGATTTGGTTAAGTAGTTGTGATGATGAGAATGAGTGGCATATCTTGATGAATTGGCTTGGTTGTTCTGTTGACAGTTATTTTACCTAGGTTTGAGCCATGTTCATTTCTTTTCTCGTGAGACATTGGTCAGAATCGTGGTCAGTTAGAATTTGCCTTGAGTCTGCTTAGAAATGAAGTAATTGGATCTGTGAACGTGAATATGATTGAGGCATTCTTTGTATTTCCCTTCCCATTTCTTTTTCTAAAATAATTTTCACTAGTCACCCCTTTTGAGTCTTACTGATTTTCTTTTTCTTATAAGCTCGTGACGATGATATTGTGGAGTTGCGTGTGTAGACTGAGAGGTGATTCGTGTTTTTATATATTAAAAAAAAAAAGAAGAAAAAAGAGAAACCGAATGGATTACGTTAAATGTCCAAAGGTTCTCACACACACACACACAAAAAAAAAGAAAGAAAGAAAGAAACCGAATGGATTACGTTAAATGTCCAAAGGTTCTCACAAAAAAAAATGGTGAATAAATTGGGTAGTAGGTTGATTTTGGGGTAGTGGGAGGAACCGGTTGGTGTCAGCAACCAGAGGAATTCATGTTTATGGTTATCTGATTGAGAAGAATTGATTTTTATTTAGCCAGTTAGCATATATTTATCCTACCCTATCCAAAGAGTCTACGTTACAACCCTTAAAGCCCTCTTGATTCATGGTTTCACGAATTTGATTGTTTTAGAGTAGGAGTTAGATGATAGGCAAATTTATGATTGATTCAACTGACGACCAATTTGAGTGTACCCAGTTGATATTTGAGAAAGAAATTGAGTGAGGCATATATGATACACTTCTGTACTCGAGAGCTTATGTCATTCAAAATAGCCAAGTTAATAGTTGAGGTGTGCCCTTGTGCTCATTTGAATTCTTCTTGACTTGATTGATTGGTTTGAGATTAGTCTTGCTTGAACCGGTGTCCTTGCTCATTTGTTTATTTTCCTTTTCTTTTCTTTTCTTTTCTTTTCTTTTTGTTCGGGACGAACAAAGGTCTTAGTGTGGAGGAGTTGTTTGCCCCATTTTCGTTGCTATTCTTTTTTATGTTTTGTGTGTTTTTTCCCCCGTTTTAGGTCATTTTTAAGGTGTTTCCGGTCCATCTAGTCATTTCTCGTGTTTTAGTGTTATTTATTCGTGTTTCGTGTTCTCGTTTTCTTTTCTCCTATTTTCTCTTACTTTTCGCGTCTTTTCCGATTTTGGTGATTTCAGGTTATGCCGGTTACCAAGTGTTCCATGCCCGTTATTGCGACCAAACATGCGGAGGTCGATTTTCCAGCTCAAGCAGTATCCGAGCGACGCTAGCCGAGCACGCGAGCCAAAGAAAAAAGCAACTTTTGGGCA